TCCGGGGGTCCCCGCCGGGCGTCGGTGGGGAACGGCGGCTCCCGACGTCCACACTCAATTCTTGGGGCAGACACAAGAATTGCGTTTGGACAATCAGGACCCAGCGCTCACATATGAGGAGGCGTGCATGCACACAAGCACATGCTGCTGTCAGGCCATGGGTGTCGCGCAGCATGGGTCCAGGCGGCAGTCTTGCCCACAGAGGGCAAACCCACATGGACACGGCCCGCACACGAGAGAGGAAATGCCGCTAGGCAATGAAACACATGACCCATGCATGCACACACGTGGCATGGGGAACCACTGCAGGTACACAGGCAAGCCCTGGCATATGCACGTGGATTCACAAATAAGTGAAGTCTTTGCACACGAGTTCAGCCATCCATTGGCTACGTGTGGGGAATGACACGTGAACTGGACAACACACATGACCCTGAGTCTGTGGAGTCACGTGTGTGCAGTGCACTCTCCAAAAACATGGCAACTAGTACTAATTTGCGCACACGTGACCTGGCCTGAAGCTCCAGGCATGCACAGGATGGCACATGCAGAGGACCAAATGATACATGTGAACTCACATGCACTCTCTTTCAGGAAGCATGAACTCACAGCTGCACACGTGGATCCTGAGGCAGGACACACATGGTCACACAGATGTCAATGCCTCCCCCCACTTGCACTCACCTCACTTGTGCACAGATGCTGACTGGAGCCCATGTGAACTCACTGTCCTTGTGAGCTCACACTTGTGACACCTGATGAATGCTCGTGAGAACAAGTGGAAACAAACCAGGACATGTGTGCACATACATATACGCACACATGTGAACTTAAAGGTGCATGGGGCTTTGCCGCACAGCTCATGTGTGCCCAAGTATGTGCATCTTGGAGGACACACTCCCCAACTCACCTGTGGCTTCCACGCACGCGCGCACACACACACACACACACACATGTATGTCTGCTAGGGACTTGGGATATGAGCTGGGAGCAGCACAGAAGAGCCGGGGGCAGGGGTCCCCTGCCTGTCTGCTGCCCCCCCCTCCACAACAACCCCCAGGGCAGGGGCTCCCCCCTCCCCACAGAGCAACAGGCTAGATCTGACACACAAACACATGCTAGAACACACCAGCATGTGGCAACACCTAGGACACCTGACAATACATGCACCCATGCAGAAGAGCAGGCTAAATCGTGTGTGGTAACCCACAGACATATGTGAACACATGCTGACACATGGGATGCCCAACAATGTTAATACATCTGCAAATGCTAACACACAGGTACCGCCCACCCTGCCACATGCTCCCTTGCAAGTACCCTACCCCCCACATGCTAACACATAGACACCTGCAAACACATATGACCCCCCCAACCCCCAGTACGGTGACACATCAGGTTCCCCAACACACCCTACTTCCTGCACACTAACACACAGGATGCCAGCATGACAGCCTAACGCACACCCACACGTACGCACCTCCAACACACACCTCCAGTGTTACACACCTGGCACATGCATGAAACTGCAGCCCCCACCTCACAGGCTGACACAGACTGAGCACACAGACGTGCACAGACACATTCAGGGACACGCGTGTGCTGAACCCGCCCCCACCCCCATGCAGCCCCTGCCAGCATTGCACCTCCCCCCCCACACACAGAGGCAATCGCCTATGGGTTACCCCCAAGAAATGGGGGGGCACAGACATCAGGAGTCATGGGCAGCGTAGGGCACAAAGAGCTGAGGCCTTGCAGGCATTCTGGTCTGTCTGTCCATCTGTCTGTCCATCCAAGGCAGGTGTGTGGGACAGTTTGACCCCCAGCCCCAAATCACCCCTAAATGCCTTCCTCTGAGGTAAATGGGGGTCTTTCCTGCCCCCTCCAGCCCCCTCACTCATTTCCCACCCCCCAGGCCCCATTTGCCCCCCATTG